GCACTAAACTGTAGACAGGATATTAAAATCCTCAATTATGAAAATTAGGTTTTATTTAAGCCTGGATGTTGTGGAGCAAAGACCTTAATTAATCCATCTCTAATGGTCAAATGTCTTCCTAGCATCAAGGGAGAGAATATCTCCAGGGGTTTGTGACCTGGGAGCGCATCTTTTAATATGAAGCAGATGTTAAACATAATCAGAGATGCATCTTAATTTTAATGAATCCTGCAGGGTCATAATAAGTGCCATTAAATACCACATGGCATCGCAAAACCGTGGCAGTCGCTGCCTGGGATTATGCGACAATATGGAGTGCATGAAACAAATGAGAACAGGGTGTTTTAAGAGGAGTTATACTACAAGAGACCAGACACTTTATTTCTAACAACAGGCCAAAATCACTCACTTACTGGCCACATTCTACCCAGCAATTCATGTGGTTTAAAGGTTTATGCCAGCCCCTGTCCACATCACATACATCATATGTATCCCAGCCTGGATTAAATAGGCTCTTTCCTGAATACCAATATACTGGAAAACAATCCAACACAAGCTCTGTGCTCCTTTTTTTTGCTTCTAGGTAGTGATGCTTAAGTTTACATTGTGTTCATTTCAATTCTTTAAAAAACTAAAATTATAACACAGCTGAATGCCAATCTATGTCCAGCTAGTGCAGAGACGTCACTTGTGCAAAGAGCACAAAATAAAGAGTACAGTACAACATTTCTTTCTCCTAAAAAAGAGCAGACTGTCCTGAGACACACAAGGAAAACTCTGAATCATGCACATCATTAAAGTTGAACTCTGCTCAGCTCTGCACATTTAGTGTCTCATTAAAGGTGTGGTTTGACATCAGGTGTGTAAGCTGCTGCATCAACACATTTTTGTTTGTTTGTAGAAGTCTGACACTGAAGTCCATACCACCGTCAGCTCAACAGACACTGTGTCCCATGTGTGTGTCCCTACTTTCAAATTAAAAGCCCAAACTATTCCTGACAAGTGAACATTTTTAAGAGTGTACAGTTCCCTGTTTTTTTGTGAGAGTGAAGTACTTTACCTCACTTCCTTCTCGAAGTACTATAGTTCCACGGACATACTGCCACATAAACTGAGCAGTTTTTGACAGTTAGGAGAACTTTGCATTAAATTCAATTGCCTTAAATACACTTCCTGGAGACATATCCTAACCTTAACTATAACTATAGCCTTAACTTCACCTAAAACAAATTTAACCCATAATGTAACTGTGTCAACTGTCCCCAAACCAATAAAAAGACACAAACACACAGTGGCATGCATTAATTCTTTCTTTCTTTGATTGATTTTGTGTTTAAGATAATAGAGAGACTGAAGAGCACATCATTACTGATACAGTGCTAAAATGCAGGGCATATCCCTGAGCTGTAGCAGCAGACCTTGGCCCTTATAGCCTGAATAGATAATGATAGATTTTAATCATTTTCCATTTTATTAATGTGTTGTTTATTTATGTTTATGTATTTTCCCTTTCCAATGATATACAGGTATGTGACTGAGCTAAAATGTGAAATGTTTGGTTGAAGATCTTTCAAACTGACTTGTAAATATTTAAAAAAGGTATCATGTTCTGATGTTATGACATCTAAACCTGTCTGCATATAAAACATAATTATACTGACTAAATGTAAATATTGTATGTTGCCATTTGTTTCTTTTTTAATGTGACTTTTGTATCAAACCAAAGAAAAAGCACATTCAATCTATGATGTTGATTCTAGGGTGGTTTAATATCATTTTGCTGTATGGGTTAATAAAATGTATTTTAAAAAAATCTCAATTTAAATTTTTCCATCATCACTTTGTATTTAAAAACTGGAACTATTGATCTGTCTGAATCTACAGGGCTTTAGATGATTTATTTGGACTGCATCCAAAGAGGATGCTGTTATTATATATAGGATAGTATTAATAACTATGTTACGATAGTTATTGACCTCAAACCTCCATCCCTGTATGTAAATGTCATCTTTATCTTTGTCAGCTCATCATTTTTAAATTCCTTTGTGATACATTTTAGTGGACTGCCCCCTAATGCTTGCCATATTGTACTTTCATCTGTGAATGCTTTAAATGATATGCAATATTATCAACATGCATAGCTATAGATTCTACAATCTAATCACCTTTGCACAGTGCAGTCAGAAAGTATTAGGACAGTAACACATATTTGTAATTTCAGCTCTGTACTGTAGCCCAAAATGCAACAGTAATTATAGAGTTAATGTGTTGAGCCTCAGGTTTAACTTGAGGGTGTTAACGTCCACATCAGTTGGATCATGTAGGAACAGCCACCATGCCGATAGAAAGTACTTTAAAGTGTAAAGTTAACATCAACAAATGTTCTTCAGTGCTAACTTACTATAGGCCCCTATACATATTCCATACAAGGCGTGCACACCCCAACAGAAGTGTTTGGGATGCACAAGCCTTCTGCTTACGTATCAAACATGCATGCATCCTTGGGCCTTAGGTTAGAAACTACTAGTCCACTTGAGGAAAGCAAAACCACTATCGATCTAAAATAGTAGATTATTTATGAATTATGTTTGTACAACCAATCAAAAACTCCCTCAAATCTGTTTTTTTATATTCCTATACATAAATTCAGACAGATCAGATACAAGATGATGATGTGAATTCTGAACTTTGTCAACAACTATTGAAGCTCAGCTGTTCTCTCACTCTCCTTTCTAATCAGCTGACAATGGGCGTTTACTCTTTCAGTTAAACCAATCAGATCTAGCCACAATTTCCTCCAGCCAATCTGGTTGCTGCCGCCAAACTTTAAATCGGTTCTCCTTTCTGCTGCTTTCATTTCAGTGCGAAATCATTGCGGCCCTCCTCAACTCCAGCTCATCATATTCAGTGCCCAGGTTGAGCTTGTCAAATCCAGATCTTCAGTATTCTCTTCATTCCTTCATCACCACCACCACGACCAGAGTCTCCAGGTTTCCTACTAAACTCCTTCAAATATGATGACGTCACTATGTCTTATTTAAGTCTTTCCTGAGCAGCATTTTTCACAGCTAAATTGAATAATATGAATGTAGGAGATTGTCCTATCGTCTCCACCTCTGCAGGAGACCTTTATTGGTTTCCTAACATCAGGCTCATCATATGATCCTGATTTCTTCCCCAACACAGCAGGGCCTCTCTCTGACCTTTGAGCTCAGGAAGGGAGGTAAGAGTTTGGCGCCTGGAAGTCTTCTCTGAGGTGCCCTGGTTCTCCTTCTCGGTCA